CCTTCCTTCCTTCCTTCCTTCCAGCAGTAGTGGGAGGAGGTGATGTGAAGTCCTTAGCTGGTGTGAGCAAGTCCGAAATCTAGCCTGTTTGGAGGCTTTCCAGGGCAGAGGGGAGTTGGATTTGGCTGAACTGCAGAAAGACCAGGGCAATACAGGCCCGCTTGGACTGTTTCAGGAGAGTACTACTGTCATCGTGTCACCTGTTGTTACCAAGTACTGCTCATTTCCCACCCAGCCCCCCAGTGGCTTCATTTCACTCTCTTGGAATTGCCTGACTTCTTCCTTGAGGTCATGGTGGTGTGAAAGCCAGAGAAGACTTTGCTTTGCCAGTATCTTAGGTAGGGAGCCCGAGCGTTTCCCATGGGACCTGCCACAGTGCCCACCACAGTGCCCCTTGGGCTGAAGTTGTTGGCTTTGGACTAACATCCAAATTGAACATGACAGTCCTCTTCAGTCCTTTACTTCTTCAGTCTCTGTTTAAATTTTGATCTCCTGATTTAACTGTTGATCACCAGGAGAGTGGCTGATCCATTTTGGGGGGCATGATTGGACAAACCCTGGGAGGTTCTTTCTAGCAGGGAGCCCTAAGCAGTTGGCAGCCTCACTGATTTCTGGGTATTTGGATCCCTGCAGCCCCTTTGCTCTGCCAAGGTTTCTGTACACTGCTCTTTTCCTGCTGTACTGTGCATCTGCTTGTTGGTTGGTTGTATTTTTATTTCTTTCTTTTCTGGGAGGCCCTGAGCAGTCTTCAAACCCTAGTAGCCTGCGATTGTCCAGAGTTCAGACTCATTCTCTCCAGGCCAACTCTACAATTACCTTATATTTAATTAATATTTTTCCCCCTCTTTACGTACTTGCTGCATAATTGCTCAGAGGAAAGAAAACACATAGCAGCAATTTATACATATATAAAAAAACAATAATTAAAAAAAACCCCCGAAATAAACTCCCATCTCATTTGGGCTGATCGTATGAGTTGGGTAATTAGGGCCCTATTAAAAGGTAGACCCCTCTTTTTTTATTAATTTTTTTATATTAAACTCCCACAGTCTCTCAGTCATGGCCTTATTGCTTTTGGCCAACCATTTGCAGCAGCCTGATTAAATGAGGGCACCAGCCGAGTTGTATAGTCTTGTGTGAGCTACTTCTGCCTTCTGGGAGTGGCTGTGGGAGGGTGCCAGGCAGAGGAGCCCACCAAGGGGCTAGAGATGGCTCGTGTGGCAGGTTGTGGGTACAGGACAAGCTGCTCTGAACTGTCAGCAGGCCTGGGAGAGTCACCAGGGTACTGGAGAAGTGATGGGTGGCAGTCCTCAACCACGGAAAGCCTGACAGCACTCAGCCCGAGTCATCCTTCCGCAGGGTTCCTCTGGCCGTGGGTGTTAGCTGTTTCCCCATTTCCCAGATGCTGGGGAGGAACAGACAACTGAAGGCTAAAACTCTTTTCCTCAAGTAATCTATGTATTTTATCTGGGAGAGAAAAGGCATTTGTATACCTGAAGCAATTAGCAAAGAGCACAGGGCTGTGTATAATTTAACAAATAGTACACAATCGTGTGTAATTGGTGCAGAGCTGCCTGGCTTGGAGTCTGAGAGAGCCCTCATTATGTAGAGAAGTTGCAGAGGAAGTGGGGTGTGGGAAGAGGGGTGCTCAGGGTGGGTTTTGTGGAGCTGGAAGCCAGGTCTGGAGGAATGGGATAGTTCAGTGCTGAGGGAACACCCTGCTATGCTATTTTTGTTTTTGTTTTTAGCTGAGTGCAAATTTCCTTAATGGGAGCTGCCTGTTCTCTATAGTAAAAGTGCTAAGCATGGGATGCTAAAGGCAAATACTCTTATTCTTTGTCTCCAGAACTAGATGATCACTTTGGAATAATTTTCTCCTTATTAAAAAAGTGGGTTACAAGAAGCTCTATTGAGCAGTGAGTACAGTGCAAATGACATTGACAGTAGGTGGGTGTATTTGGGCTTCTACATTATTGTTTGCTTTATTTGCTAGGGAAGGAGGGCCTGATGTTCATTTCTGTCCTCTATGGGTCATAAAAACAGGCTTGTGATTTTGTGCTGAGAAGTATGGTCTTGTAGTTTCTAAATGACATATTTGTGTTTATATCCATCCCCTTGTCTTGATTCCATCCAAGCAATGACGCTGCATGTTGCCCTCTCTTGCCCTTTCACTCCTTCTCCCGCCAAGGCCTCCCCGGCACCCTGACCGTGTTAGTGGTATAGTTGCTCTGTAATGTAGAGTTCTCAGGGCTAGAGACTGGTGAACAGACCAGTCTTGATAACTTCTGTAAACTCCCAGTTGAAATCTAATTGTTAGTCACAGAACTCTTTGCTAAAGTTAAAATAGCCGATTACTTTTTCTTCTTTGTTCTTCCTTCACTGAGCTTTTTCTCCCAGGGCAGAGTTTGGACAGCCCTGCAGAGTGCTGACCTCCAACTCCTCCCAAACCTGTGCAAACCCGGATTTCCTGTAGACCCGAGTTTTCTCGTCACTGTGTGGATACATGCTCAGGCTTACGTGGAGGCTCTGGGTTGAGTGGCTCCAGCACGATCAAGTCCTGCCTCGCTGATAGGTCTTTAAGAATGGGTGGAGAGCTGGCTGGGTGTGGTTCAGCGGTTGCGCATCGACCTAGGATCCCGGAGATCACTGTCAGGGTTGGAATACTGGTCAGGGCACATGCCCGGGTTGCAGGCTCGATCCCCGACAGGTGGCATGCAGGAGGCAGCAGATCAATGACTCTCTCTCATCATTGATGTTTCTCTCTCTCTCTCCCTCTCCCTTCCTCTTTCTCAAATCAATAAAAATATATGGAAAAAAAAGAATGGGTGGACATTGCCTGCGTGGAGTAACTCAGTTCCTGTCTTGCTTGGGTATAGAAACTGGGGCTAAGAAACCTTCTGAGAGTCCTTTTAGTCATATGATTTTAGGTTATTTGAGGTAAGTAATAAATAAGTTTCATTTACATGTCTGCTTGCTGTTTCAATGCAACAAGTTTATCAGTATTCAGCACGCTGTTGCTCATCTACTTTATACAATGCTTATGGGTTTTGGCTAAACTCGAATTTCAGTGTTTTGCTCATTGACTCCAAGCTCTTCCTAATGGATGAATCTTCTACCACTTTCTGTTCCTTTAACTAGAAGGTATAGGTTTTTTTGTTTGTTTGTTCTTTGTTTCTCTCCTTTTGCGTTATCCACCCACCAAAAGAATAATGCCAAACTACATGAATGTATTTTTATAAACGACGATGGTAATTTCTACCTTATCACCTTCCCTAACACTAGTATTTTTTGGTCTGCTGAATTCTTCAAAATAAGGACGCCATATACCTACAGACTCAGGCTGCGTGTCAGTAGTCCTGCCCTCTAAGTACAGAAGGACTCCGCGTCCTCAGGTTTCTCCTTGAGGCTAAGATGGAACTTCATTGGCCGGGGGGTTTGATCTGCAGCCTGTGTTTGATCTTAGGCCTTTCAGGGGAGCTCGTCTGCCTTACACCTGGATACCTACAGATTTTCTCTTTACTTTTTAAGTTAGTTAACTAGAGGCTGGTAATCAAAAGGCCATCTTGATGAATTCAGGGAGCTAGTCTGTGAGCTTCTCTCTCTTTTTTTTTTTTTAAAAATACATCTTTATTGATTTCAGAGAGAGGAAAGGAGGGGGGGAGAGAGAGAGATAGAAACATCAATGATGAGAGAGT